AGGAAGCTTTTTATAAAAGCTTTAAAAAAAAAAACAAAAAAAAAGGAGGAAGAAAAACTTGGAACTTGGTCCTTGTATCCCTTCCTATGCATTTTGAATGATATGAAGATGAAATGCATTACTTAAATGTGTATTTTTATCCATATATTAGAGTGTATTCCTTGTAAAGTATTTTTATATGCTAATTTTCTTATGTATCTATGAAAGCACAATATTTAAAAGTACAGCATTTCAAAGAATATTTTAGTCCTGTTTTGGACCTATTTGTAAATCTCTGTATTTAAATGGGATTGGAATGACTTTGACTTTTTTTTTAAATTAAATAAAAGCAAATGAAATGCGTTTTTTTTGGTTTGTGTTGCTTTCTGCTGGAGGATGATAGTGTGGCAATGCTTTGCTTCCAGGAGCATTTTAACTTGCCAGGGGGCCCTGTTTCTAAGACACCTTGGAGGACAAGGGGGAGGCCACACAGAGGGTTTTGCTGGGAGGCCACTCTTTGTTGGGCCTCCAGTGTAGGGCTGGGGTTGTCCCTTGCCACCCCCCATAAGCAGCAGAACTTGGGTTGCTCCCCTCCCTGTGCCCATGGAGGCAATTTTGCTGTAGCTGTTAACAGGAAGAGCTGGAGATGCTCATGCATGTGGTTCCAGCACTGCTTGCAGCTTTTCCACATTGGGAATCTTGGCTGGAAGCTGGGCTGCTCCATGACAAAACACTGATGCAGCAAAGTGCGTGGCAGCCGTGACGTGGCAGCATTTGCAAAGCTGCAGTTAATCCCTGGGGATGGGTTAGAAAACTCCTGGAGAATGATGTGCTGGCAGGAGATGTCCCATCTGGTGCTCAGAACCCTACAGCTCCAGCAGGGTGCCTTGGGGATCTGCACTGTGGTAGCCAAATTACCCCATCTCTGAAAGCAGACATCCCAAGAAATGACTGCTGTGAACCCAGAGCACAATTCTTGTGTCTGTGCAACGAGGATTTCTCCCCTGTGCTCCCAGTGTGGGCAGCACAGCCTGGAATGTTCCCTGGATAAGGCCATAGGGCAAGCTGGGTTTTGCAACCCTTCATGGCCAAGTGGGTAATGCAGGAATTTTCAGAGACTGAGCAGGGTATAGGAATGCTCCTGGTTTGAGTGGGGAATCACTGCCACATAAACAACCCTTATCTTCCATCTCTGGCTGCCCTCCTGGGGCGAAGACTTCAGAGCAGGGCCCTGCAGCGAGGCCAAGGGAGGCACTGGGGCTGCAGGAGGCTGAAGGAGCGCCCATGGGCTGTGAGCCTCGGGGTGTGTGTGCCCAGGGCTGCCCTGTGTGTCCCAGGTAAGAGGTTAGGACAGAGCTGCTCCCCGGGTGAGCCTCAGCACGTCCCCCTGCTGATACCATTCTCATCCCTGATGATGCTCTGATGGGAGCTGCTGCAGCCCTGAGCAGGTGATGGCTACCAGGGCAGGTAGTTGAAAACCTTCAGCTGCAGCTTGTGGCACTTAGTGGCTTTTTAAATTTCCTGTTTATTTATTTTAACTTGAGACACACTGCAGTTGCTGTCTGGGCTTTTATGAGGCTGCTTAGCCCAGGCATTGCAGGCTGTGCTGATGAGAGGAGAAAACCCTGACAAAGTCCTTAATCACACCCAGCAGAAAAACCAACCAAGCCAAAAACCTCAACTAAAGACAGCTGTGGGACTGGTCCTGGGCATGGGGTGCTGGAGGCTCAGCAGTGATATTCAAATGTTTTATTTTCACAAGCAGTAGCCACTTATGTGCTGTTTATTTCTTTCCCTACCTCAAATCAGGACTTCAGGAATGGACACTCTGGTTTAACTCCATCTGTTTGACTGAAGAGGACATCAGCAAGATTAAATAACTGGTTCCCATACACCAGAGAAATAAATGCTGGGGTGGGGTTTTTGCTTTCTTTTTCTTCCTTTTGGGCTTTTCTGACATATTTGGACTCTCACAGTAGTGGGCATGCATGGGCTGGGCACTAACTGGTGAGAAATGGCTTTCTTTTGCATCACTTGGGTTTTTTTATTTTGTTTTTTACCTCTTTGATATGTTTTGTTGTTTTTTTTTTCCCCTCACCCCACTTGTTTTGCTACTTGTTAACTTGTATCCCATGAATTTTTGCACTTCTATCCTTCTGATTCTCTCCCCATCCCACTGAATGAGGGGGTGAGTGAGAGGCTGTGTGTGGGGCTGTGCTGCCAACCAGGGTGAAACCATGGCAGATACGAATTTAGATAGTGATTACACACATATATATATATATATATCGTATTTTATAAGGGCAAAAAACGCCTACACCAACAACCCCAAAATAAGTAATAGATTTAAAGGAAAAACTGAGCTACTCAAAGACCAAAACAAACCCATCCAAGAGCATAGCTGGTTTACAAAGGAAAGTTTTATTTTCAGTTATAAGGTGATTACAAACTCATCTAAAAAAGCAAAGATGACTTAAAAATATCCATATACATTTTATTTATCTAAAAAGCAAAACAGAAACTGCAAAATACAAACATTTACCATATACACAAAGGCTAGGGGGTTTTAGGATTAAATTACACTCCAGGATTTTTTTCAAATACAAATATTCCGTTTTGGAACACACAAAAAATGTTTTAAAATGTTTTAAAAATATTTTTAAGGTTTTTTTTCTTTAAAAAAGTTCAGATGACATTTTAAAGGAGGCTGTCATCGCCCTCGCCTCCTTGCTGCATGTGCTACTCATTATCACATTACTGTAGTCACAGTTGCTAGGAATTTAAATAATTAAAAAAACACCGCTGTTTTTTAGCCAAATACATCAAACAAGATGGACCACCTCTTACAATGTGAAGTCCCTGGCAACATTATCAGGTAACAATCACAACATTACACTGGAGAAAAGAATAACATCCTATTGAACAATGAGCACTTCAGAACAGTACTGGGATGCTGTGATGCTGAGAGACCAGCGCTGGCTTCCAGGACAGGAGCAGGCCATGAACTAACTCAGCTTGCCCCCTCAGGTTTTTTGTGTTTTTTTTATCAGCCTCTCAACATAATTTTGCCACTGTTTGGTTTTTATTTTTTTAATTTTTTTTTTCTTTATATATTGAAAAAAAACTTCAACTCTTTCTAACATCTCAGCTGCAGAAGCAGGTACATTGAGGAACAGTGTATCGTGCTCACTGTGCTACAGGGCTGAAGCCTTCCCCCACAAATGCACACACACAGAGCACGTGCACAGCTCCTTAGCATCATTGAGGTTTATTTTTTTCTTTCTTTTTAATAGCTTTATTTTTCCCAGTATTTCTTCTGATTTCTCAAGCCAGGCCAGGTGTTCCCTGTGCTGCAAATGTGAAAGTGAGCAGCACC